TATATATATATATATATATATATATATATATATATATATATATATATGTATATATATATATGTACATATATATGTATATATATTCAGGGGGTCCTTATTTACACTTGGTAATTTTGTTTTAGAATTTTTTTCACGGCACTTTTCAAAAAGTTTCCATATAACAAAAAAATAATGGCTGTCAAGTTGAGTTCGATCGGATAACGAGAACTCGTGCCCCTGAGTCGTTAAACATTTGAGTAAAATTAAGTTGTCTACTTATTAAATTGTCGACGTATTAAGTACCCTTGTATTAAGCTGTCTACGTTATAAATATGGTTTTTAAAGCGTGTTTTCTCCAAAAATCGGCCTAAAAGACTCTTTTTCTTTCATCGCTTCAGATCTTATAGTCTCATTTAACAAAACAAATTATAGTCTTATAGTCTTATAGTCTATTAACATCTTATAGTCTCATTAAACAATTAAATAAATTGTTTTGATGACTAAAAAATAATAAATAGTTATTGCATTTATTCTTTGAGCTACAACAAATCATGTATGGACTCTAAAAGCAATAGTATGTTTGGAAGACAATATAAGTATAAAACATGATATCTTTCATGTTTTTATTAATAAAGAAACTTTTTTGATTAAATATTACATAATAATTAATAATCTCGTGGCTCTTAATATTATGCTGAGAGGGGATTATAGGTGTACAGTCTGTTTGATAAAAGTGTATACGGCAAAACTTGATAAATAATTTATTGAAATGATTTGAAATAAAATACACACATACTACTTGATTAGAACTGTGATGTTTTATTATTAATAACTTATTCAGTCGCCTTCATTATTAATAATTACCTGGTATCTCTGAGACATACTTTGAACTAATTGTATGACATATTCTTGAGGCAAAGATCTCCATATCAATCGAATTTGTGAAATTAACTCCTTGAGCGACCAAATTTTCTTTCCACGAAGTTTAAACTTCATCAAGAACCAAACGTTTTTGATAGGATTTGCTTCCGGTGACTGTGACGACCAATCCAGTAATTCAACATTATTTTTTTATTTCCACGCGACATTATTACAAAGATGACTTCAATGTTTAGGATCATTGTCCTCTTGTAGTATCCATTTTTCGTTTTTCCTTATAAATCATGTTTGAGCAGATAGTAATAAAGCCTTTTCATGAATTTTAGCCATTTTGCTAACGTTTAAGTTATTTATGAAGATACACAAAGTGCCAAATCCTTGCACGTTTCGATAAGTCATCGAAATTTTTTACCTCTAAGTAGCAATTTACCCACTTATTTAAAAATGCTTTTGACTTTCTCATACTTAGCAGCCGCTTGGCGTAACATTTTTGGTCCTTTCGGATGTGTACAAAGAAACACGGCTTCGAAACATGATGTGTATTTGGCACTCATGGCGAAATATATATTTTTATCACGAAGATCGAGTGACAACTAAAGCTTTATCAACAAAGCATCTTAAACGAAAGGTACTTCTACTGGCTCCTGTTTGAATTTCCCATCTACTCGTTTACATGTAAAAGTTTTGCCGAACACGCTCTTATCAAACAGACTGTATAATAGGCCGCGGGTTCGCAACGTTTCCCATTGTCTGAATACGTCAAACAATATAAAAAAATAGCATTCTTTCGGTAAAAATAAATGCAGTAACTATTTATTTTTATTTTTTAGTCATCAACAATTTATTTAATTGTTTAAATGAAACTATAAGATCTCAAATGATGTAGAAAGAAAAAAGGGAAGTCCTCTAGAGCGATTTTGGAAAACACGCTTTAAAAACCATATTGATAACGTAGACAGTTTAATACAAAAGTACTCCAAGTGTTTAACGACCCAGGAGCACGGGTTCTTGTTATCCGATTAAGCAAAAGTTTGGCAGAGATTTTTTTTTTTGTCAAATGGAAACTTTTTGGAGGGTGTCGCGAAAAAATTTGAATGTTGAAAAATAAGGACTACCCTAATGTGTATGTGTGTGTGTGTGTGTGTGTGTGTGTATACTTAATTTATATTATTGACAATTTTATCATCATAGGTAGCAAAAATAGTATACTATCTATCAAATACATAAATTCTCCAAATTTTTATTATAAAAAAAACTTTTTCTGCTACTTAAGTGCTTTATATATAATTATAAATGTAAACTGAAATTTTGGTTTGGTTTTGTAAATGTGTAACGTTTTAATATTAATATTTTGTTTTGAATGTGTTTTCGCGCGGTAACATAAAAACTTTATGCTTTGGCTAATTTAGTGTTTAATTTAATGTGTATTTATTTACATGATTTTATTATTTATTTCACTGTTTACATTTTTTAAGTGGTTAATGATACATTTGGGTATACAAAATAATGATCATATTTTATTATAAAATATCGTATTATTATAATATTGTATTTTTAAGAACTTTTTATATTTTAATTAACTATTACTATTTTCGTCTTGATATTACATGTAAATGCGGTGATAATATGACGTATATCATTATATTTATATATTTAACGATACGGCACTTTTAATTTAATATTTATTTGTTTAAATTCGCAAGCTTTTGTATGTTTATGTTGTAATCCCTATTATTATATTTAAATCCACATTTTTAAATATTTATACAGTGTTTTATTCAGTTTTCTTTTTGATTTTGCATGTTTTTTGTGTCCACTGCACTTCCTCGTTGGTTGGTAATATGCATGTAGTTATAAACCAAGAACTGGTAATGGAGGTAGAAGCTAGGATGAATAGAGCTTATCTACCGTCACGGCTGTTACCAACTCACCTTAGGGGACCACCACAGTTTCCACACCACAGGAAAACTTCATTATATCATACTAGTACTGGTAATCTTTTGTACTTTTGTTAATTTATAGGTTTTTACCTTGCGTATTTTTGGAAAATGATTATGATTAGATATATTCTATTTTTAATATTAAAAATATATAGCAATATATAATTTATATAACTGTCTATTTCTTTTTTCTCTATATAGAGAGTGTCACACAATTCGTGACTTTAATTTTACTAAGAAATTCACAGAGTAATTTAAAGTTAATTATTTCTTAGTAAACATTAAAATATCCGAGATACAAGCGATCGAAACAACTAAGTTTTTTACAAGTTAAATTTTGTACGATCAAATAGACAATATAATTATTTTCGTTGATTATTTCAAAAGTACCTTGTTTTAACAGATCTTAATTTGGAGCTTAACTATAAAGTAATATTGTTAGAAAACAAAAAGACCTCCCTCGATATTTTTGTTTAGAAAAAAGCAAACTATTTAGTAAATTGCTCAGATAACCTTTCGATAAATTAAAATTTCGAGTTTTGAGATATCTTGCACATGTTGATTCATTTTGAGTGATCACAGTCAAACCACATGAGTTTCCCGTTTGCACAAAAAGATTAGGTTAGGTTTTCTGAAAAAAGTATTTTAAACAAGTCTTATGATATTAAGCAATATATTAAATAATTATTTTTATTTGATCTGTGGTATACATAAGGGTATACATAAAGGTATACATAAGAGTATACATAAGAGTGGTATACATAAGGGTCGGATGTGTGTGGGAAGTTCCTATTCATACACAGAGAAATGGCATTCAAACTTCAAAATTTCTAACTCCAATGTGCAGTTGGTCCCTTCTCCTTCTACCACGTAAAAATAAAAAATAAATAGCTTAGAATTAAAAGTCACTTATGAGCTTTCGATCCCTGCTAGTTAAAATGTTTGTTTTCCTGATTTTTATTTCTTGGGATGAATTTACTCAACTCCCATATTTCTTAAAATTATATAAACGGGAATAAATGCAGAATTAGAAACTATTTATAAGCTCTTAAGTTAACATAGTTTTAATTTTTGAGCTCTATCGTTTATTCTCGTAACAATCTTTAAATAATTTATGCTAAAAAAATAACTTATAAAGAAAAAAAATTTAATTCATTGTTTTTTCATCAATATTATTCTCGGATTAATATACACAAAATATATGATTCTTGATTTTTAAACTGTAACCTCTTAGCAAGAATTCTTTATAGCATACATTTAAGAGAAAATTATGGTTAAAAACCAACACAAATTACTTGTCAAAAAATGTTTTCCACATTAACGAATTTACAGATATGTATTTTATTTTATTTTTTAAGCTGTAACCTCTTTATATAAGAACAACAACTTTTACCCCCCGCAAATAAAAGAGAACTATGCCTAAATAATTAAATTACTTAACTATGCCTCGATAATTAAATTATTTTTTGTAAAAAAATATTTTTCACATTTATGAACTTATAAAACTATGCTAATTTAAGAAATTCTAGATAATTTGTAATTCCATAATTACCCTTGATTCTATTTATGTAATTTTGAAAGATGAGGGAGAAGACTATATGATCGTTCACTCAAGTTATCACCTACAAATCAATGTGCAGAAAATGAGTTAAAATGAGAAAATTTTTAACTAGCAGTAATCGAAAGTTTATAAATCCTGTTTATTTTCTTTTTTTTTTTTTGGTTATTGAAGGGCAGGGGGGATAACTGTACAGAAATAAGTTTCTATTATTTTTTAATACTTTAGTAATTAATATGTTTAGCTATATAACCTCAAATCGATCTCTGATATAGTTTGGTATTGACAGCCCGTCAAAATAAACATTTCAAATATTATTTTTAAACGTGCAAAAACTGAGTTTTACGAAGTTATTATTATTATTTTTTTTTTAAGTTTAACAGGTTGAAATTAAAAATAAATTGTAAAATATTTTAGTATATGCTCCTTTATTTTCAATAAAAAGTGAACTGTTAAATTTAAACGTGATGAAACAAGTTGAAAATGCACTTCGCTCTGATCGTTTAAAGACTACAACAAATCAAGGAATAGTTGGAAAAATGTAAGATATCATAATGATTTAATGGCAATTTAAGTTGATAAAGATAGCAAACATTTTAAAAAACACATGCAAATTATTTTTCATGAATATTTGATCATGACAAAATTATTCGCGTGATGAGTGTGTCTTTATTATTTATTGAACAAAAACAAATTTAAATGCAAATTTCAAAGTAATATTTGAAGCGCTTTAAGCATAATCAAAATAATTTTTTCGGTCGTTTTAGAATTGCGAATGAAACTTAAATTTGTCGCTAAATATATGAGACAAAATAATAATAATAAACTCGTAGTGATTGTATAAACGGTTTTACCGACTAACAAACTTATAACCACTGTTTTTTTGGATTTACGTAAAATTATTTTCTTTGACAACTTTAACACAGGAAAGCGATTAATGCAACGAGTTTTATTATGTGAATTTGTTACAACATTTGAACGAAAATATTTAAAAAGAATAACCACATATAGTAAAAAAAAATCACTTTTTCTTTAAAACAATGCACTATCTCACATATCAATAATTGGCAGAAATCTATGAATTGCGACTTAAATTAATGCCGTACGCTGTTTTTTACTAGATCTAGTCTTATGCTTTTATTTATATATTTTTATTTTTATCTAAAGCTTAAAAAATAGTAAACAAGTAATAAATATTTATTTCGAATAACAACGTCATCATCGAATGATTATTTTAAAAATTTCAATAACTTATGTATAAAGATTATGTTCTCATTGGAACACATAGCTTGAAGGAGGCTATGTTGAAAAATAGAAACAATTTTGAGCAAGAAATTTTTAACTATAATTCAACTTAAAATTTTTAATTTTATTATGTTGTTATGTTTTTATCTTATTATGTTACTACGTTATTTAAAGTAAACCAAAAAGGTCATCTCAAATGCATCATTTATTGCTATAAAACTTTTATTTGGAACGCTCTTAGGAAACGGAACCGTCACAATTATCTGACGCCGATTTGTTTCTGCTTAAAAATATATTATTAAATATAGAAAATTTGGTTGAATTTTAAAAAATGTAATATCTAACTAGAGAGAGAGAGAGAGAGAGAGAGAGAGAGAGAGAGAGAGAGAGAGAGAGAGAGAGAGAGAAACGTCTTAAACGAAAAATTCAAGTTTACTACTTTTTATAATCTGACAATTGTGTAACATTACGGCCGCAACTAGACTACGGTAATACACTTTGCGCTATATACACCCAAACGCGCACAAACACATAAACACATACACATTTAATATATTAAAGATAAATATAATTAGATACATAAAGATAGAAAGAAGTACAATCATATATTAATTTAAACATATAGACAAAAAAATAAAAACAATAGATTAAAGAAACGTGTAGATTTTTATAATCAATAACTTACAAATTATGACAAATATTATCGTTTAATTGAATTTTATTCAATAAAAACGGACGAAAAAAAGCAAAAATATATGGACATATATAAAGAACATATATAAAGAACATATAAAAGGTGTTCAGTAATTCATGGAGGAACCGCGGTGTACAGATAAATTAAATCAAACTGAACAAATAATTCCTTTACCATTTAGAAATAATCACATAAAATTTTAAATTACTAAGGAGGGAGCCTGATTTAGGACGCCGAAGAAACGATGATTTTCGTGAAATTTTTTCTCAGCAACTATTAAGCGGATCAATATAAAATTTTAGGGTTGTTTTATAACATCTATAGACAAAAATATTTTTGTTATTTAAGAAAACGTTATTTTACGTTGTTATATTTCAATATGTTCATAGCGCCGCGCAGTCAGAGTTGTTATTTTTTGTAACGTCTAGCGGATTCAATTCTTATCTGGAATAAAAAACCAAAATTTTTTCTTAATCTTTATGAAATTTTATCCTAAATAAACTAAGAAAAACTGCAGAATTAGAGAAATTTGTGAGTTTAAAAAAAAAGTTACGATTTTGACGAGAAACTTTCGACTTCTTTATGAAAAAACAATTGTTTAGTTACATTTTTTAAAAAACATTTTAGTTTATCGAGAATAGTAGGTTAACTAAAAAGCTTTGGAAAAAGTAAATCAGTCAAATACTTTTTTTTCTGAAACGTTACACAAATATAAAAAACGTGGTTTTGAGAAAAACGCATTTAAAGTTTTCGATATGAAAAAATTATAATTATTGCAAACTTACAGCAATTAGATGCTAATCTGCCATGCTAGCCCCATATACTAAGCTTTCCGCTTCTTCATAGAACTCGTTTTGTTCCAATATACAGGCATACAATGGCAGACGTCATCATCACAATTCATCTACCGTGACGCACAATCGCGCATGATCATTTACGAATCTCCTTTGATTAATAACTTAAAATTTTACGTGGTTGTTTGCAAAATGGTAGAGGAATTTTTTGTTCAATTTGACCTAATTTATTTGTGTACCGCGTTTTCTCTGTGAATTACAGGATGTCCTAGATTCTCCGCCGCAATTTTTGTGAAAATGTAGGACGGATTGAGGTGAACATAAAAATCCTTTATCGTCTTACGATATTCGCAATAAATTTCAAGATATTAATTAAAGAAAACTGATGAATGATTACGCGCGATATGATAGATGAGTTCTAGTGGTGCCGTCTACCGTTGTATATTTATACATTAGGTCAAACTAAACTAAAAAAATGTTCTCTATCATTTTGCAAATGACCACATAGATTTTTAAATATTAATTAAATAAGACTTGTGCATTATCGCGCACAATCATGTAACAATTTTCTCTTATTAACTAAAAATCTACGTGATTATTTGCAAAATGATAAAGGGCTTTTCAATTGAATGTAATGTACACATAATAGTATACATTGCCACTACTCATTTACCATATCACACATGATTATTCACCAATTTTCTTTAATTAATATCTCGACTATTAGTGCGAATATCGTAAAATGATATGAAACTTTTATG